AGTTATGTTGTGCATGGCTGTATTTTTAATTTATTAATTGTCAATTATATAATTGTTACCTTTGTAGAGATCGATGTACAGGCATTGTTACTGTCTATTCTTTTTTAGTAACACTTTTTAAATGGGTCTATATTAATTCATATAAATTGAGTTTATACTAATTTCATAAAACAGATGTACATATTTTAAAATATGTACTTATGTGGTTTCTGGTAAGTTCATTTTGTTGTACAGCCAGCTAACTAACCCTAATTCTCCCGTTCCTCGGTTGCCTCTGGTTGCCTGTTATATACTGTCTCTCTCCATGGCGTTGGCTATTCTGCATATTTCTTGTTTATTCTTGAAGAGTAGGCAGTTCAGTTTTTAGTTTGGAATGTCTGTTCTGCCAAGCAGAAGCATCATTCAGAACCTTTAGATATGTAGGCTTCTTAAACTTACTCTGAGTAAGTTGTTGTGGTGCTCAGCATGCTATTGTAATGCAGGTGACTTAGAAGTATGTGAAGACATTGATTTTCATAATCCTTCTGGTATATAAGTTTGGTCTAGGGCAGCTTGAATCCTTGGCACCTCTAGTTTAAAGTAGCTCCCTTTGTTTACCCTAGCATTTTATACAAATCACATTTTCAATTCATGACACAGTATGGAAACGCAGCTCTAATTTGTTGTTTTGATTATGTCTCCAGCAATATGAACCTCTGGAAATAAATTGATCTGAGATTGTTTTATACTTATGTTTATCTTCCCTATACATAAGTCATTAAAGCAGTCTTAATTAGAAGCATGAAGAAAAAGGGTAACACCAAAATACCTTGCTTATCCCTGCTAGGTAAATTTATTTTTTTCTGAGTTTTTATATTTATTGAAAGGTAGATTTACAAAAAGAAGGAGAAACAGAAAGCGCTTCCATTTGCCAGTTCACTCCCCAAATGGCCACAACGGCTGGAGCTGAGCCAGTCTGAAGCCAGGAGCTCCCTTGAGGTCTCCCACATGGATGCAGGGTGCCAAGGTTTTTGGGTCATTTTTCAAACATTTAATACTGGTAGGTAAGATTTTTTAAAGTATTTGTTTCATATTCTTTTTCTCTTAAGTGTAGTTATAAAAAATGAGGAACAGAAAATAGATTTCTGTATTATGTGCAAATTCCACTTAGCTAAAAGCAATTACCTTCAAATATTCAGGGAAGGATGTTTATTAATCATTATCATGAGTACAAGAGAATAGCAATACAAGTAAAATATATTTTCTCTCTGCTATACTAGGTACTCAAAATCTCTTGTGATCTGATCATCAATAAGTCCTTAAGCAGAAGTTTAGATAACTAGTTAATGATTCTAGATAAGTCTGATACTATTGTAATTCAAAGAGTAAGCACATTTGAAGCAGAGGCCTATTTCATCTATGGGCCTAATGTAATAACATTCCCTTGCTGTAATCACTATCCTTGGGTAGTCGAGTCCTTAGCTCTGTGGACTCAGAAATTCTATAGTTACTGTACACACATGATAAAGTGCTTTTGGAAACTGCTAATGTTGCAACAAATAAATAATATCCAGAACAACAGTTTATCACTATGCATTAGAAGAAAAACCATTGTACACACCAGCTACTTATCTTAATGGACAAGTATTAAATTTCGTAAAATAAGTTAACAAGGGAGCCTTCTGCCTGGGCTTAGGCTCTGGGTAAGGGGCAGAAAAGTTCTCACTGAGAGTTTATCAGCACAAGCCCACCCTCTTTGAGCTTTGACATTGTATTGGCAGAATTGTATGGAAACACCCAAGACAGGAAAGCAGCATATAAAGAGATCATTGGCAAAAACAAGCATAAAAAAACACTGAAGAGAGGCACTCTCAGCTCAGACTACAAAAGAAGTCCTCAGATTATCCTGTGAACTGATAACCTAGGATTACAAAATATACTAGGAAACAGTTTGCCAGGAGAAAGAGGGTACCGAAGTAATACAGGCTTATACATGTAAGAACATCAAGTAATTACAATAAAATAAAAATGTATGATTAATAGGTAAAATCTTTGTACCTGAGATGTCATACACCCAAGTATGTGAAGAAGTATACTAGGATTAATAGAGGTCATGTATTGTGGTGTCACATGTTGAGCCACTACTTGAGATCTCCACATCGTAGGAGTGTCTGGCTCAAGTCCCACCTGCTTTGTGCAAATGTGTCTGGGAGGCAGTGGATGATGGCCCAGGTAAAGTTCATGCCTTTCACATGGGAGTTCCAGATGGAGTTCTAAATTCCTGGATTGGATTCCCAGCCCTAGATGTAGGCATTTTGGGAGTGAACTGGTAGATTGAAGATCTCACTTTCTCATTCCCTCCTTGTTTCTCTTGTCAGTCTACCTTTCAAATAATCTTTAAAAGAAAACAAAGAATTCAATTAGAATTGAACATTGAGACACAAAAAAAGAGAAAAATTAAACTCGATTGGAAATACAAGGGAATTATCCAGGATGTAGCACAGTAGGCTTACTTTGTTAGGAAACATGACAGATTGGTAATTAAACATACATATAATAAGATTTTCTAAAGAGGATAGGGCCCAGCGCCATAGCATAGCAGTTAAAGTCCTCTAATGCTCTGGGATTCCATATGGGCACCGGTTCCCATCCAGCTTCTTGCTTGTGGCTTGGGAAAGCAGTCAAGGACGACCCAAAGCGTTGAGACCCTGCACCCGCGTGGGAGACCTGGAGGAAGTTTCTGGATCCTGGCTTCATATCAGCACAGCTCCAGCCATTGTGGCCACTTGCTTGGGGAGTGAACCATCGGATGAAAGATGTTCCTCTCTGTCTCTGCTCCTCTCTGTATATCTGACTTTCCAATAAAAATAAATAAATCTTTTTTTTTAAACCCCTTTTTTTTTAAGATTTATTTTTATTATTTTTTCATTGGAAAGGCGGATATACAGAGAGGAGAGACAGAGAGGAAGATCTTCCGTCTGATGATTCACTCCCCAAGTGAGCCGCAACGGTCGATACTATGCCGATCCGAAGCCAGGAGCCTCTTCCGGGTCTCGCACATGGGTGCAGGTTCCCAAAGCTTTTTGGGCCGTCCTTGACTGCTTTCCCAGGCCACAGACAGGGAGCTGGAAGGGAAGCGGGACTGCCGGGATTAGAACCGGCACCCATATGGGATCCCGGGCGTGCAAGGCGAGGACCTTTAACCATTTGCACCATCACACTGGGCCCAATAAATAAATCTTAAAAAAAAAAAAAAAAAAGATAGGGCCCGGTGTGATGGCGCAGTGGTTAAAGTCCTCGCCTTGCACGCCCCCGGATCCCATATGGGTGCCGGTTCTAATCCCGGCAGCCCCGCTTCCCATCCAGCTCCCTGCCTGTGGCCCGGGAAAGCAGTCAAGCACAGCCCAAAGCTTTGGGACCCTGCACCCGCGTGGGAGACCCGGAAGAGGCTCCTGGCTTCGGACCGGCATAGCATCGGCTGTTCTGGTCACTTAGGGAGTGAATCATCAGACGGAAGATCTTCCTCTCTGTCTTTCCTCTCTGTATATCCACCTTTCCAATAAAAAAAATAATAATAAAATAAATCTAAAAAAAAAAAGAAATAACACAGAACAAACTTTATCACAGATAATGACTGGTAATTTTCAGTGTTGCTAGAACAAGTTAATCTTTAGATTCAGGAAATATAAGGACTCTGAAAATGGACAAAATGATTAAAAGTGATCATTATTTGGTTAGTGTTGTGGTATAGTGGCTAAACTTGTGCTAGTGATGCTGGCATCTCATATGGACACTGGTTTGTGTCTGAGCTGCTCCACTTCCAGTCCAGCCTCTGGCTTATGGCATGGGAAAACAACAGGGTAGTACAATTCCTTGGGCTCCTGCACCCATGTGGGACACTTGAAGGAGGCTCCTGGCCCTTGACTTCTGATCACCTCATCTCCAGCCATGGCAGCTGCTTGGAGAACGAATCAGCAGATGGAAGATTTCTCACTCTGTCTTTACTTTCCTCTTTAACTCTACCTTTAAAATAGAAATAAAAATGAATCATTAAAAAAGGCAATCATTACACAAATCTAGTAAAATTGCTTAAAACCAGATATAAAGAGGTGATCTTAATATCAACTAGAAAAAAGCTAGCTTAAAAAGAAAAAAGAATAGATTAAAAGCTAGTATCTTCAAAGTGCTGAGATAGAAAAACTGGCAGACTTGCTTATCCTGACAAACTTATTTAGGTATGAAGCTGAAATAAACACATTTTGAAAGCTTGGGAATTAACCACTAGAATATGTCCCATAATGAAAAGGGAATTTAATACATGAAAAGGTATGAAATACAAGAAAAAATAATGGGGGGTGTAGCATTAAAAAAAATAAGCCAGCATTTTTTTAAAAAAATTTATTTTTATTGCAAAGTCAGAAAAACAGAAAGGAGGAGAGACAGAAAAGATCTTCCATCCATTGATTCACTCCCCAAGTGACTGTAACGGTCAGAGCTGTGCCAGTACGAAGCCAGGATCCAGGAACTTCCTCCAGGTCTCCCACGCAGGTGCAGGATCCCAAGGCTTTGGACTATTCTCGACTGCTTTCCCAGGCCATAGGCAGGAAGCTGGATGGGAAATGGAGCTGCCGGGATTAGAACCAGCACCCATATGGGATCCCGGTGTGTTCAAGGTGAGGATTTTAGCTGCTAGGCCACAGTGCCGGGCCCATAAGCCAGCATTTTCAAATCTTCTTTTTTGTTGGATGTGAAAAATGGGCAGAATGTACTGTCTGTTTGTTTGTTTTTAACATTTAACATTTGTATATAATAGTTAAAACTGCATGTGATTGTGCACTTTCAAAATTTGTATATAAAATTTACTTATTTAAATATAGAAATGAATCAAAAAATGAACAGTCTGTGTTTCGGAATTTTAGGTTACCATTAGTTAGGAGTTCATTTGGGAAAATGTTTTGGTTCATGTTTTCTTATTTTATGCTTTTATAAGGTGTATTTAATCTTTTCTTTTTTTCTTTTAGGTCAAATCCTTTTTATGAACCTAAACCAACTCTTCCTCCAAATAATTTGGTAAATCCAACTCAGGAATTGGATACTGAAAAAAGAGTAAAACGTAAGGCTCCACCTCCACCAGTCCTCTCACCAAAGACAGGAGGAATAAACGAAAACACAGTTGTTTCAACTGGAAGAGATCTCTCTACTTCTCCTAAGGTAGGAACTTGTTCTAGAATACATATCATTTTAAGAAAAGTCATTATCACTCATTTTTGATTTTTCATTTTAGAAGTGACATCAAAGCAAATCTATATAAAGTAACACTCTGTGTGTTGTATGGGTGTATGCATATCCATAAATTTATAGTACAATATGCAGAGAAAAAGTCATTGTAATTGTAGGATTGGTACTTTTTTAAGAATAAGAGCAAGATACTCTGTAAGTAGCTAGGAGTAGTCAGGGACAGCTTGTATAAATGCAGAGGATGGTATATGGGAATCATCCTTTGACAAATATCTTGGAATGATTGAAGCTTAATGCAAAGAAATGCTTTGTTGAAAGATTTGCATATTGCAACTTTGACTTAAGCAGCAATTTAGGCTTTCCTATCACTCTTTCCTTTAGAAATTCTAGTACAGAATATTTACATGGGAAGATAAAACACTGTTAGAACAAGCTTTTAAACAGTTTATGCATGTGTAAGGTAGAAATGTTGATTTAGCAGCTGTCTTTAAATAATTTTGCCCATCAAATTTGGGTGATTTGTTGTTACCATATTAGATTATTTAGTCATCTAGGATTCCACGAAGTTTTCTTGCTATTCTTCACTGGAGCTCAAGTTGAGTGGCTTGACAGAAGGGCTCAGGACCCAGTCAAATCTACATTTCTTTATTCTCTGTATTTTAATTCCTCTAAAATTTTATTTTAAAAAAAACATGCATAATTGCCAAGGGGGGGGGAATTGAAAGACACTATACAACTTTGTAGTAGATAAGGCAGTAGATTACAATCAGTGGCATACTGACAGTAATAAAAACGCTTTATAAATGGCAGCTAGTAAAACACAGTGTGATGGGAGTTAGTTGTCATGAAATAGACCTGAATATCTCAGTAGTTTGTTGAATACTGTTGGCAGTATTAAAGCTTAGTAAAATAATTGACCATTATGACAATGGTTTTTTTAAAAATGTTTTTACGACTTATCTTTATTTGAAAGATTTACTACAGAGAGAGAGAGAATCATCTTCCATTACTGATTCATTCCCCCAGATGGCCAGGACAGAGCTTGGAGCCAGGGGCTTCATCCCAGTCTCTCACCTAAGTGAAGGGCACAGACTTGCACGATCTTCACTGCTTTCCCAGTCATATTAGCAGGAATCTGGAGCAGAATGGAGTAGCCAGGACTTGGACCAGTGATCATGTGGGATGCTTATGTTATAGGCAACAATTTGAACCACTACTCTGGTCCCAATTTTGGCAATCTGGAGTCAACATGAAATACTATTAAGCTTGATTCTATTTAGGAAAGCAAGAAAACTTATTAAAAATATATTTTCATTAAATTACTAAAGAAGAGCAACCGTTTAGTTCACTACTGAGGGCATCATTTGGGAAGTACGTATTTCGTTGTAGCACTTCAATTCCCAACCTTCCAGTCCAGTTTCCTGCTAATGTACCTCAGGAGGCAGCAGATGATGGCTCAGGTTCTTGGATCCTTGCCTCCAGTGTGTGAGACCTGGGTGAAGTTCCTGGCCTCTGGCTTCAGCCTGACTCAACTCTAACTTTTATAGGCATTGCAACGTGGAATGTTGCACAAAATGCTTGCTTCTAGAAATTAAAGAAGTAATAAATATGCACTTACAGAGAAAACTAAATATCAGACTGTGTTGGATAACAACTAAAAGAATAGAGTCCCTTTCTATAGATAGAAAGCCTCGAATATGGAGGGAAGGAAATAGGGAAGTTTATAAGTATGCTCTTGAAATGATCTATTAAATGCAAGAAATTTGTTCCTTTTATAAATACAAGGTTTTTTTTAGAAGAAACATCAAATTACATTTTAAATCACAAATAAAATTTATTTCTGACTTTAAAAGTATTGAAAATCTAGAGTTCTGGATGTTCATAGATGTCAGGGACCCAATCTCCTGTTTTGTTGTTCCATTGACCTTAGGGTAGACCTCTGCCTCATTGCCCAGTGTTGTCCTGTTCTAGTTAACAGATAAAAACTGTTATGAAATAAAAACTAGCCATATATACCTTTAGCAAAGGAAACTAGAAAATGAATGCATCCTTAAGTGCATTTATGTTGAGTTATTTAGCCAAGCAGTTAAGATTGCTGTATCCCACATTTATAGTGTCTGAAAATATATGTTAAATTTCAGAGGATAGAATTACAAGTGAGTGAATTGAGAAACATCTCTTTTTTACTCCCTTGGCACATGAAATATTAGTTTCGAAATATATTTGGATATGTGTGTTGCTGAGCCCAAAGCAGGGTGAGGCAACAAAGATGCCTGTGGCACAGTATTTCAGGATGCACTTCCTCCTAACTTGGTGCAATTAAGGATTTACTCTATAAGAAAAAAAAAACTATCAATATGGAAAGAACTCAATAGTTCACATCAGAGCCAAGACTAAATCTGCATAAAAGAGGTGACTAGGGCACAAAATTGAAGGAGGTAGCAATTTCTGGGTTGTACAAGCCTACACAGACGAAAGTGATGTCTCCATAGTTTTGCAAGATTTTTTTTTTAAAAGACAGATATACAGACTGAAGGATAGGCAGAGAAAGATCTTCCATGCTCTGGTCATTCCCCAAATGGTTGCAACAGATGGAACTGAGCCAGTCTTGAGCCGGGTGATTCTTTTGGGTCTCCCACACGGGTGCAGAGTCTAAAGGGGTTGGACTATCCTCTACTACTTTCTCAGGCTACAAACAAGGAGCTGGATGGGAAGTGGAGCAGCTGGGACACAAACCAGCACCCTTGTGAGATCCCAGCTCTTGCAAGGGAAGCATTAGCCAATTGAGCCATCATGTTGGGCCCCAGTGTAGTACAATTCTAAATAGACACTGAAGGAAAACAGAGAAAGTAGAGCCAAGATTATGTTAGGAGAAAGAACTTTTCAAAAAGCTAGTAAAAGACATAGTCTGGATTCAAGAAGTGTGGAGAGTCTCAATCTTAACCAAATGAATGTGAGTCCAGGAACTTCTTCATGAATCATCACAGAATGGTAGATTGCTAGATATACAAATACTTAAGTTTTAAAAGATAGATTCATTTTAAAGGCAGAGTTTCAGAGAGAAAGGAAGAGGCAGAGCAAGACAAGAAGAGAGAGAGAGACTGCATCCTCTGGTTTACTCCACACACGGCCTCAAGGTCTGGAGCTGAACCAGGCAGAAGCCAGGAGGTTGGAACTCCTTCTGGGTCTCACATGTATGGGCAGGAGCCCATCCGCTCTGGTCATTTTCTGCTGCTTTCTCAGGTCTGTTTCCAGTGAGCTGCATGGATAGCAGAACAGCCAGGATTCAAGCTAGTGCTCATATGGAATTCCATCATTGCAGGCAGTAACTTAGCCTCATGTACTGCAATGCTGGGTCTCAAACAGATAGCTGAATAATCCCAGGTGGGGAAAAGTCACACTATATCCAGGGGAATGCTTCTAATCAACAAGGAAGTCAGGATATAGTTCAATATTAGCAGTCATATGATTAAAGGAATTTAATGGCTTGAATTTAATGTCCAGCATAAATATTGGTGAATGAGGGTGCAAATGAAAATTGTTTTTCTGGACATCTAAGTTCATCACTATTAGATCCTTGTTACAGGAAATTCTGAAGCTTGTAATTTAGGCTGTAGGAAAATACTCATTAGGAGATGATAATTTCAAAATGGTAATACATGTCGCACTAAGGCAAATATGTGGATAAATCGGAGGAAACACAGTTTAAATAATATTAACAACGTGTCATGGGATGAAATAAAAGGGAATGAAAATAAATTATAACAATAGCACATACACTGGGAGAGGGAAATTCACAGTGATTCTTTTCTAAGATTCTTATATTGCTAAAAAGTGGCATAAAATTGTTGACTTTAGACATCAGTTAATCATGCTGTAATTTTCAGGTCAATCACTGGAAGAATAGAAAGATAATGTGTGACTAGAAAAGAGGCAGAGGATACATTGTTTAAAATAATAATAATTTAGTAGAAGTTACAAGAGGGGCAAGTATTTGTCCTTTCAGTTAAGATGCCTCTGCCCTTTATTACGCTGTCTATTACGTTGCCTGTGTTTAATGTTCATCTCTAGCACCTAACTGCAGCTTCCTGGGAGGCAGCAGTGTGGCTTAAGCAGCATTCCTGCCACCCATGTGGGAGGCATGAATTGGGTTCCCAGCTCTTGCCTTGTTTGATCGTATCTAGAGAGTGTGGATCAAAAAAGGAAAACTTTCTGTGTGTCTACATCTCGAAGAAACAAACAGACCCAAAGGAGACAAACAAGCAAATATTCCTTAACAATTTTTTTTAAAGATTTATTTTACTTTTGTTGGAAAGTCAGATATACAGAGGAGGCGAAGCAGAGAGGATGAGCCTCTCTCTGTCCATTGATTCACGCCCCTAGCTGCCACAGCAGCTGGAATTGTGCTGGTCTGAAGCCTGGAGCCCGGAGCCTCCTCCAGGTCTCCCACACGGGTGCAGGAACCCAAGGCTTTGGGCCGTCCTCAACTGCTTTCCCAGGCCACAGGCAGGGAGCTGGATGGGAAGCAGGGCCCCCGGGACACAAACCAACACCCATATGGGACCCCGGCGCTTACAAGGTGAGGACTTTAGCCACTAGGCTACTGCATTGAGCCCCTTAACAAATATTTTATTACAGATATAAAACATAAAATGATAAAAAAATTAAAAATCAAATTATTAGTAATTAAATAAGCTAAATGCAATTAGAAGTCTGGGCTTTTAAACAAAAGTAATCCAACTTTCTTATCTACAATATAGGTGTATGAAAGGTTGAAATTAAGACTGAAAAAAAGATTTACCATGATAACGCTAACCAAAACAAAGCCAGAATATTGTGACTGGCAATTTGGCACGGCAAATTACACTGCTGTCTGCGACACCAGCATCCCATTGAGTGCCAGCTGCTTCACTTCTGATCCAGCTCCCCTCTAATACACTTAGAGAATCAAAAGAAGGTGGCCCAAGCCTTTG